GGTGTGCCGGTAAAAGTTGATAAGTTCCAAAGAGCACTGCAGTTAGATTACTGCTATACATTTTTGACTCAAGTTTTAACTATAATCGAAAGCAAAAATTAAAAATGCACAAGCGTCCACAATTTAACAAAAAGCTTGATTTAAAAAAAATAACACCGATGCACGAAACGTAAAAATGCTTAAAATTGAATCGTATGCATTGAAGGACAGCGTATGATTAAAACAAAAATCAATTTTTTGCAAAAATGTAAGAAGTACAATGTTAGTAAACACTTCCTCGAACAGTCATGATTTTTGGTGCCAACCAATACAGCAACGCGTCTTTACATATATGTACTAGAAGATGTACGAGCACAGCAAAAGCCGATTTAAGTGGCGTCAAAGCTAAACGCTCGCATGGACCCAATAAAAAAAAATCACATAATAGTGGTAACAGTGTATAAGCAAAAATATACTTTTTATTGCGCATGCATACCTGTAGCCTTTTTGACACCGATGTCTGCTGAATAGCTGATGTACAATAGCAGACAAGAGTCGTTTGTGAAGTATGACACACAAGCTGGACAATGAGCACGTGTATCAGTTCAGACAGGTATTATTAAGGATAGAACGTGGATGTCGTAATAAAAGTCCGGTGTTTTTAGCTCGACGTTAAGTTGCTTGTGACGGCCCGGAAGCTCTACTGACTTTTTGCACAAAGCCGCGAAAACAAAAAGATTATACGCTAGGTACTTATCCTGATAGTCTCCTTGTAAAACGTCTCGAGATCATCCGTGTGTAAAGTTGAATAATTGTCTCAACAAAAAATAAGAATTCACTTTTCAATCAAGTCATGTGAGTACATTTTACAAGATGATACGAATTATATAAATAGTTTTAAGTAGTGCTGTAGGGAACGGACAATCCAGATCTGAACTGGGCTACTGATGTAAGCAAACCTAGAGGAGACCCTTACTCTTGTTCGACAGAACAAAGTCTCCACAAGCCTACTTGTGAATGGCGACTTGGATGCCAGTTCAAACTGTTAAGCGCAGTTTTTATGAACATCTCTTTCAATCTTTGACGTCGAAATGATTATTAATATCTCTCCTTTTGTTGGCCCTAGAATTTTTAAAAAATAGATATCTATCAGAGTATTCGAAGAATTTTTATTTTTAGTTTTTTCTTCGATTTTATTTCATATTACTTGTCGCGCTATACTGTATAGAGTATACTATTTGATTTGCGGTTGCTCTACCATAAAAACAGTATCATTATCGCATACAGCTTTGAAATATATTTCTGTTTCTGCAAAAAAGCTCTTCTACAACTTTTCTAGTTTCACTAGAATGCTCTCTGCATGAAATTCACATATCAGACCATTTTAGCTTTCATAAAGAGATGGGACCTCGAATCGTGCATGGTTGAATTAAAAGCACTTTCCAGTAGACTACAGGTATACTCTGTACAGTACTCTTCAACAGACCTTTTAGTATGTATTGATAAATACAGCAATTCAATGCATAATCAAAACATTTGATTATGCATGTCAGTATTATTAAATTAAATGAATTAAAAAGTAACAAACATGATTTTTCGGACCCTCTTATAAACATATACTTTCCGTCGTTGTTTATAAACTGACAACCTACCCCAAATTAAAAATAAAGAGTCTAGGACTAATAGTAGGTAAGATGTGCCGTCAAATCTGTGAGTATTAAGGCGCGTGCACAAAATCTAGAACAGTAATGTACGCTCACTATAAAATTTTTACAGAAAATGAAAATCAATAAAATTTTAGTTGCAAATTATTTTGTTTCGTACCTACCCGGTATATCTTTTTTATTTTTAAACTACTACATCTGCATAACTTAAACAAATTTTTAGTGTATTTTGAGTATCCTATTATAATTGTAATAATAGTTATTCAATAAAAATAAAAATGCTGATTTCTTGGTTTTTTTTTTTTTAATTTATAACTCAGTTGTTTGTTATAATACTAGTTTTTTGTGTTAAAATATTAAAAATGTTATAAGGCTGCAACTTTTACATTTTACATTTTCCAATGTAATTGACGGTTTTTCTAAAGTTTATTGATAACTATAAAAATTAATTAGATTTTTACGACTTATTTGTTAATACCAAACGATCCCAATGTTGCGATATACCTAAGACTTTTCTTGGGTGTTCTCGGCTAGCAGAGCAAGCGCAGAAGAACCGTGTTCTCTCTCTCACCAGACAGGCAGGAGTGATGGTGGGCTGCCTTGTCTTCTACTTAAGGGGATTATCGGGGGACAATACGCATTAAAAATTTGGTGTATCAAGATCCAAGCTGATTGTACACCCTTCTCTTCCCGGAACGATGAATTTTATGAGTGAATGTACTCGCGCATGCGCAGTTCGAGTATAGTCATCTGTTTGCTTCGTTTTCATCAGATTTTTGGCAAAATGTGCTACTTTACATTACAACATCTCATAAACTATAAAGCTAGGCCTTCTAAAATTTGGGACAATGCTTCTCAACATAGTGATCAAAAAAGTGTCTCATAATTTTTTTTTCAATTCTGTAGAAAATGAAAAATCACGATTACTCCCTTTAAGCTCTGCTCACTTCGCAAAACTTAAATACTACTTTTAGCTTTAACTTCTTGTATCTGTCGATGGTCGAGCGGACTAGCTGTTTTGCTACCGTAGGACTAGTAGCCAGGTACTCTTCGACTTCTGACTGCGGCACTTTTTATCATTATCATTATTTTTTATTTTTCATTATTATTATTACAAGAACGAATTATCAGACATTAAGCTAAATGTATATTCAAAATACTTGAATCAGAAGATACTCTTTCCTAACTACCTTGCGGTAAGTGTTAGGACGCGTTTTTTTTTGTTTTTTTTTTTTTTTTCGAGAAAAAATCAAGAAATAATTTAATTACGAAGATAGGAGTAATAAAAGTACGACTTAAACGAAAAATATGTTGAAAAAGTTGAGTAACTATAAAATATTTATTAATAAATAAAGTTTTTTCTGAATAAAATTTGGCGTGATTTTGATTCAGTCATAAGTAATTTGTGTTGTCGTACATTGTTAGTACATAAATAAATTAGTCGTTACAATTCTTGGCAAAATTTATATACTCATCGACAATAATATGTATAGAGTTAAAAATCCTTAGAAACGTAGCAGTCATCATAAACTACTGCATGGTATGAGAAGAAAAAGTGCGTCTACAGACAGCGTAAAATAAAAATCCCGGCTCACTTTAAGTATTCGTGGAGGTTGTTTGTTTTGATTTCGCAATGTGCGTTGTTTTTCAAGTATACATATATGCAATACTGTACTACAGCGTGGAGGGCTATGTTTTTTCTTTTAGCGTCTGCCTTCGGAGGAAGTAGGTTCGGATATCATAAGGTAGTTAGTATTTCGTAAATATTTTTGATATATTTTATTAGTAACAAGGTATTCGTGTTTATTATACTTATATGTTTATTATACTAGTGTTATTATGTTTATTATACTTTTGATTTAGTAAGTGTTAAATACTGAGTATCATGCGTAATACATAGATAATCAACTGCTGGCACAGTATGAAATCTTGCGAGTTCGTGAGGCAGTTTGTTTCACTTGTTAATTAGACAGTTGTTTACAATTTTCGTTTGCTTAATTCACGCTTGCATTTATCATTCTTGTTAAATAATATTTCAATATTAGAGCTAAAATCATGTCTTACAGTGTGAATAAAAATTTCAAGCCAAAATCTAAAAAGAGCTGTAATGTTGGAGCATAAAAAAAAAGAGTAGTTGTATTTTTGTTTTAGTGTGGTTAGTAAATCCTTTGTTTTGAGATTGGCTTTTACATGATGTTTTAAATGTTGAGAAACCTGCTCGTTGCTATATTTGTAGTATCAAGGTCACGTGCTGTAACAGGCAAGATTTGATTAGGCACGTTGCAACAGAAAAACATCAAACTAGGGTGAATATTGAATAATAAAAAATTAATTCCCCTCATGATTCTCCTTTTGATAATATAATTACTTAAGTTAAAAAGTTTGAATTAGAAATAGCCCTCTTATAGCAGGGCATAACTTGCTGATTAATCTTGTAAACAACTTATTATCTTTTATTCAGGAGCTTTGCAAAAACCCAAAAATTGTAGAGCAAATGGGTATGAAAATAGAAAAATGTGAAAGTTCAATAAAAAATGTTTTGAGCGCTTGTGAATTCTAAAAAGTAGTTAATATTCTGGACAATCAAATGTTTTCAATTTTTGTCGATGAATCGACAGATATGACACTCAAAAAAACTTTTTGCGTTGCTATTCAATATTTTAATCATAAAATGGAGAGAGTAGTTTCTCATTTATTGCATTTAATTCAATTAGAAAGTGCCGCAGTCAAGAATCGAAGAGTACCTGACTACTAGTCATGCGGTAGCAAAATAGCTAGTTCGCTTGACCATCTACAGACACAATGCTGAGCCTTAAAAAAAATATTCAGACAAGCTTTTTGATCGTTTTTTTCGTAATTAAAAAAAAAAAGAGCATACCAATGTATACCGATACTACAAATATTAACAATTTTAAGGCGTAATACTCTGTTTTTAAAATTTGAGATCAATAAGCTTGGTATGCATTATCTGAGCTTTGTAATACATTTATTGTTATTTACCCCGCGTTTCTGTGAAGCTTATTTGTGTTACTATACTTTAACTTTGAGAAATGATTTTTGTTCTTTATTATTGTAACTTTTAGAAAGAAAAACCGATTTTCTTATCTTTGAACTGTTTTCTTCATTGCATCTGAATGAGGATTCTTGTACGATTTATATACCAATCTAAATTTATTATTATTAGTATTATTTCATAATTAATTACCTTTTATTTTAAGATAACTTTCCTTAAAAACTTATATAGATTTTGTACAAGATTTTATACAATCTTAAAATTCAGTGATTTATCTTCATAAGCCACTAAATCAATAAAAATCAAAGAATTTTATTAAATGCATTATTGTTTCCTTATTTCAGGGCTCTTTAAGATAGTTGTCAAGAAGATTCTTCGGACAGTTTGTTAGTAAAATTTCAAATCGCACCTTAAAAGTGTGAGACTGCTTTTTTAATCACTGTGTTATGAAACTAAAATAGACATTACCAACACATGTGCAGTGTTTAGATAAGCCTAGGGCTGCTTCAGTTCTTTGTAACACGAACTCCTAAGATTTTCAAGACGTCTTCTCCTTCAGTAATTAGAACCCCCGAAAGTGGTGGGGGTACTGGTGACAAAAAATCTTCTTCTAACAAGTATGAGTCGCCTACATGTTCTAATTGTAATTTGGATGAAGTTGCAAGTGTTGAGATACTATTGTGTCAGGAAAAATTGGAGAATGAAGCTTCAAAGATGTATGAACTTGCTACACTTAAACCATTTAAGGTTAGTCAACCCATTACTTCCAAGGTATCAGCTGAACCAAAACAAATATACCATTCTTCAATCTCTTCGAGCATCGCTAGCAAACACTTAGTTGACATAAACTTAGAAGATCAATTATCTGGCAACATTATCAACGCACCCTCCCCACAGCAAGATCAGATATTTGAATTAGAAATGTTTACAAATACTATAAGTCAGGAACCTAAAAGTACTTTGTCTCCTAAAAAACAACTAAGCTCACTAAAATTAGCTCAGTCATCTGCGTTTAAAACAGAGATGAAAAAATCTTCATTACAAAGTACTGAAGTTAATCATGTAAAATGTATGCAAAAATTTGTTGCTAAAGAAAAATTATTCAATGAAAAAATACTTAAAGATTATATTATGCAAGATAAACAAACTTTATTTCTACCTTTGAGTGATGCCGATGTGTGTAATAAAAGCAAGCAGTTAAACATCTTAAGTAGTTCGGAATCAAAAAACGGTACTAGTATAATCTCAAAAGTTAATCAACACCAACAACAACAACAACAAAAACAACAACAACAACAACAACAAGAAAAATTAATTTCTAGGGAATCGCAACGATTTTTTTTGCAAGTCGATTCATCCCGTAAAAGTCAATTACAAAAAAATATGAAGCAAAGAAATGACAATGCTAATACTTTAAAACATTCAAATAATATTGGACAGTCAGAAGAAGCTCAACTGCGTATGTTTGGAAGTGGACCAAATGCACTTTGGAGTTCTGTGGTCTCACAATATTTATCCAGTCAAATACGGCAGAGTGATCTTGATAAATCACTATCTACAAGTAATCAAACAATTCAAAAAAGTATGGAAAACCAGGAATCAACTTCAGATGTACAGCAACTCAAACTTGAAGAGTTTCACGACCAGGAATTACATAAGTCAAACTCAGAAATAGTAAGACAGTATTTCAAAAATGTGAAAAGTGAATCATTTCTCACTAACATGATTATATCAAAAGAAAATAAGCCTTTAACAGAGACTAAAACAAAGTAAGTTTTAACTTCGCATTTTATCGTCAACTGTTAACTTGGTTAGTAACATTACTTCGTCGCTGGCTTATTTCCTTAGTCTTATCATTCTTTTTATTCATGTAAAAATGACTGCGTAAAAAACGTTTCAATAAACGTTTTTGCAGATTAATGTTTTTTTTTATTGACACTTAAGTGTTGTACGTGCATAATAATACTTGTGTACATTAAATTCTGTGTATGCAATGCCATTTTTGACAGTACTAAAATTTCTCACAGTAGAATTACAACAACAAAAACCATAAGGTCTACAAAATTGATTATATTATCAATAATATTAATTACTCACAAAAAAGTAGAACTATTCATTACTTCGAAATCAGGATTTAAAAATGGCTAACGTTAATTTTTCTACATAGTTTACTTTACGAACGTAATTATATTTTGATGTTAGGGTATTAAAGTGATATTTCATAGTTAAAATGATTTTGAGTCACATCTTTTAGTAAAAAAAATGTTATGGGATAGCTAAATTTTTACTCAGTAATTTTCTCGTTAGATAGAGTCTACTGAGTATTAAATCATTTTTTTATATATTTAAATCCATTTTATCCCTTGATGAGTTCTGATAAGATCTAGGAGAACTTTTAACCATCTCACGCGAGATTTGCTGTATAAATTATTAACTATAAAATTATACATAAAGTAATCAAGTTTTTTACCACAAATGTTTAGGAATAATCCGTGGATGATGCAAGGATAGCAAAACTGATTTCAAATTCGAATTTCGAGCCATCAGCTTCTGTCGGTAACAAACCGAAACACAGAAGCAAAAATGTACACTCTCTCACTCACACTCCCATGGGTTTATGAATATTCCTGTAAGTTCAAGACTTCATGTATACATAGCCTTACAATGTATAGTTACGAACAAAAGCTGACGGCGGAAAATTTTAAATTCAAAATGTAAACACGTTGTAGTTTATCAACTTATGTAATTTCTGATATANTTTCTCTGTTGCCGTCTTGCGTTTGCTTCTCCCACTTTTTGTTTTTACACTATATGCTCTCTCTGCAGTGGGCACGCACTCGTTGCCTGCGCAGCTCATAAATACCTATATATATGCATGTTGAAATGTGTGTGTATATATACACTGCAACTGATAGTCTTGTGATATTTGAAAAATATATTTATTATGAGCACCATTTATATATAGATCTAATTTTGACACGAGTATGGCAAAGCTGCACAGCACAGCTAAAATTTTAATGAAATAAGCATAAAGAGTATCAAGACTATCGAATCAGCTGCAGTGTATATACACACACTAAATATATTTTTAATATAATTTTTTATTGTATATTCGTATTTTTTATCGTAAATTCGTATTTTATTTATACTGTTAATACTTTGTGTTTTTACGTTCGTATTTTTCGTCCCAAAAATTTAATTAAAAAATACTTTATAAGGGCCTTAACTCTAAAGCCACGGATTTTCTAACGAAATTATTAATTTATTTGTTCGAAAAATCAACGGACAAGAGCCGTACACAATACATTACAAAATTTAGTGGTAACCCCTGGTTACAATCTACCAACCGCGCTTATAAATAACGATCACGTCTACCACCGCCCCACCCACTGCATTAGCCGCCTCTCAAAGGCAACAATATTACTCGCATTTCTAATCTCATCAGGAAGAGAGTTCCATACTCTCCTTCGATGAGGCAACGTAGAGCTGTGTATATAATTGCGTACTGTATTGGTTTCGAGCAAAGGTCTTACATTTTTTAAAGTAAAAATACAATCTTGAGGTACGGATCATAATGAAGTGACCGACACACAATCAACATTTCTTGCAAGTAATCCAAACACAAAACAACAGTCGTTATAGATATGAGGCTGACAAACATGGGAAACCCACTTCTGAATGACACAAATTCAAAAAATCTATGTTGTATTTTTTCAATCTCATATATCAATTACTGTGAATATGGTCTCTAGATCTGGAAGCAATACAAGAGTTTTATACAGATAAACCAGTATGCTCACATTAGTAAAATCTCTGCAGCTTCTCATAAAAAATTCTAAGGTCTTGTATGCCGCCGACAAGACAGAGCTAATTTGATTATCAAAAGTGAAAAAGTCCCCGTAGAGGACACCTAAATCAGGAATTTTAGTAAGTCTTGTCACCGATAAGGGATCCAGAGCAAAGTCATGAAGTACGACCTCCGTAGACCTAGAGAACAAAATCACAGCACATTTCTTTACATTGGCTCTAAGATCGTTGGCTTCTTTCCAACTAACAATCGCATCAAGATCACGCTACAATATCTGACAATCAGAATCTTTATATGTACATTTATACAATTTGATGTCATCAGCAAACAAAAGAATTTGTGATCCATGTGTAACATCCTTGATATCAGTATCGCAAACAAGAAATAGGAGTGGCCCAAGTGTGACCCCTGACGGACTCCTGATTTAACAACTACACCATCAGATACATCCCCATCCAAAACAACAACCTACTTACGCTCAGTAAGGTATAAGGTAAACCACCTAAAAGACCAACTCTATATAATTTTCGGACTAGTATCTTATGGTTTATGGAATCAAACGCCTTTTCATAATCAATATAAATTGAATCAACTTGGGCTATGACATCCAAAGCCTGTCCAATACTATCGCAATACATCAGTAGATTAGTTACAGTAAAACGCCCATGCTCGAACTCATCCTGCTCATCAACCAATACATGACTTGACATATCACTTACTCTTAAAAAAACAAGCTTATCAAACAACTTAGCCACAGTGCCAAAAAATAAAAAAAGTCCTATAATTTTTCAACACAGGCCTTTTTATCTTTTTTAAGTACAGGAATGACCTGAGACAATCTCCAACACTGCAGCATATAACCAGTTGCCAACGATTGGTTAAAGAGGATCATAAGAGGCTCTAAGAACACAGAATTGCAAGCCTTTATAAAGGACGATGGACACAACTCTGGGCCTTTATTTGTATTAATTTTTATATCAATCACTGCCTCCTGGAACGATACAGTTATGCTGTCCTGGCACCGCATCGGCTTCAAGATTAGATGCGTCAAGGCAGTCAACTTTATCACTAAAAACAGAACCAAAGTTATCAGAAAACAAATTAGACCTATCAACAGCAATCGAGGCAGCACAATGGGTGATGGTAGCAAGCACATCCTGAACAGAGCGCATCTCGTTAACATATTTCCAAAAATTTTTAAATATTTTTATACATCTCATTTTGAACTTCATTTATGTAATATTCATAACCTTCACGCGACATCCTAATACATTCAGCACTCAAACGCTTAAACTCAATCAAGTCATCCAATTAACCAGACTGCAGCCAAGCCCTATGCATTCTCTTTTTCACAATTACAAAATTAATTAAGGTCGGAGAATACCATGCAGGGTATGTGCTTGGCTTATACCGCTTTTTAGGAACAAACAGGTTGATAACTTTCTGTAGGACATCATAAAAACTTATCAACATTTGATTGGACATCAGACTGCCCAATAACAAAGACCAATTTACACCCTGCATGTACTCAGTGACACCCTGAATATCCGCCGCACTAAAGTCAAAGTACACACTGTCAGTAACACCAGACGAGCAGCTTACACCAGAGACCTTGAAACACGCCGGAACATAATGAAACTAGCTCATCCAGTACTGGAAGACAACCAATAGCGGCACCAGGTAAATCAGTGAGCAGGAGATCAAACGTGTAACCCTGAGTGGGTGGACTGGAAAAAGTTGACAAAGACCCAGCAATGACACCTGATGACCCATCTTTTGAGCACTCTTCTGAATCAAAGCATCACCATCCGTGCAAATTTGCATAGAATCAGAGAACTCATCCCAAGTTGTATTGTGTTAGTTCAAATCGCTAAGCAGGACAATATTTGAGCTCTGGTGTTTATTGAATATAGTCTTAACAGTATTCATACAGCGATGGTAGCTAGCCAACGGTGATCTGGGGCACAAATAGGCTTCTCCAATCATACAAAAGAAATCAGGCACTTTTACATTAACAAATGACTGCTCAAAAGTCTTATCAAAGACTAGCATAGTTCTACCGAACCGCCTATTCACTGTTATAAGGACACCACTACCAAGACTCGTTGAGCCATCTGGATATATGTCCCTTTCGGTACAACACGTAATCAAAAAACTTGACTCACCATCATTTAAACCCCTATGCAGGTACGTTTCAGTGACCACCATGACATCTGTTTCAAGTACAAGTAGCCTATCATTGTTACGGAATGCAGAGAGCTTAGTGTGCAGGCCATTTACATTCTGATAATGCATTATAAGAGAACCTAGTTTTTTGAAGGGTCTAGTTCAATTGAGGCTCAAGAACCTCTCTTTTTCTTTTAGAGGTTTATGGTGCAAAGTGTAGGTACACTCTTAACTAGCTCTACAGTATTCTTGTTGTCGGTACTAGTATTATAGAACAGTTTAACTTTTTGTCGCAGGTACTAGAAAATAATTTTTTGGGTGGCCGTCAGGTCCATCGCAGCTGATATACCAGTCAGCAAATCATGCCATCCAGCTACGACAGCGTTAACATCAGTCCTGGTACGCATAAACACAATGATAGGCCCAATTTTAACATCTGCCAGCTTATCAATTTTACGGATGACAATTGTATCCAGCTCAGTTTCCAATTTAAATGGTTGGAGGATTTTTTTAACCCCAACAATTTCTTTACTTCTATCATGGTTAGAATTCTCAGCAACACTAAATAGCAGTATATTTAGCATTTTTTTTATCTTTATTGATAATCAGCCGTAGCACCCTGCAGCTGTCACCTCAATGCCAGAATACTAGTCCATATCAGCAATAAGCTTGTTTACATCCTTTCTGATGACCTTAACCTGAGCCTGCACTCCTGCTATGGACAAAACTAACTCCGTTACTTTATCCACAGACTCCTGCAGACTTTTAATAGACTCAAGCAGACTGAGATTTTCACCAC